TAATTGTTGAAATTTGAACTCGACATTGCCAATGTTTATATTTATGGAAAATACTGATCTAAAGTTACACGAAATAGAAGAATTGGTAATTCGATAAATTGAAATTATATGATAATATTTACAGTTCATAGAACTTGTGTGGTGACACTAAAATCTAAATACATAAATAGCGTTTGAGATGCGAATATGATATTTACAAACTTATATTTGATAGTTAGCCTAGGTCATTATAGATGTAGGGAATGTTATCACAAAATATTTTGTGAACACTATAAAATTCAATTACGGCCATTAAAATTTTGCAATATAATCATAAATAATTTATTTCGTTAAATTTGTTATTTTTAAATTTTGTGACTGTTTACAAGACGCGTGTTTATGTACAACATAGAAATATAAAATTAAAAATATATAAGTTATACAAATATAATATTATAATAGAAATTATTAATTACTGCATTATCAATAGTCTATTCTCGTTCAATGTAAGATAAATAATAAAAAAATAGTGAAAAAAAGTCCATAAATCTTCAAATTTATATACATTTAAATTATGTCGCTTCTTACTTAATTTTAAGTAACTTTTTTAAGGGTTCTTTGAGGAATTTATTTGAAGTATAAAATAGAAGTGAAACATTTTAAGTACAGAATAAGAAAAATACAATTTCCATCTATGGAAATAGATCCATAAGATTTTTACTATGATATAATACATTGCGTTACGCTATAGTAACTCAATAGATATATTTTACTTTTATAGAAGTGAAATTTTATAAATCAGATTGATTTATTATAATCGATTATATTCTTACGTATACTTTCTTTGTTTTATAAGACCAAAATTTGCGACAATGGGCAATTCATCATATTATAGAATAGCCACATTAATGTTAACCATTACATAATCCCAGATAATCATATTTTATTCAATTTTCATTTTTGTATTTGTAAATCATTGCCGCCTAATTAAATATGTCAAAATAATAGACCCTAATTATTAATATTATGTGCGCTTCGTATTTTATATATAAAATAGTGAGACAAATATATAAAATATATCAATATTATGAATCGTTAATAATATAACTAATTAGATATGGTCGTTGATAAATTGAATTATTATCATAAGTTACATGCAATTATACAAGTGGATAGTGTCACACGTAATAGCTAAACCATTTGAAGATAATATTTAATGTAATTATTATTAATTAATGTGATGAATTTCACATCATCTTACATTCCAAAATTTATAAAAAAATATAATAAAACTTGAAACTTTAAAATCTGAAAATTCATTAAATTTACATGGAGTACGTTTTAGTAATTGCAAAAAAATCTCTATATATTTTAAGTTTCAAGGTTTACTATGCATTTTGACAAACCTTAGAAATAATTTATGTATTTGTATGTGTGCGTGTGCAGATACAATATTTAATCGACGATTTTACAGAAACTTTAAAATCAGAAAATCATTAAATCTGCATAGAGTACGTTTTAGTAACTGCAAAAAAATCTCTATATTTTTTATGTTTCAAGGCCTTCTATGCATTTGGGCAAACCTTAGAAAAACTAAAATACATGCAGTATTTATATGTGTGTGTGCGTGTGCGGATACAATTTTTAATCGACGATTTTACAGAAACTGTTTGAATGATTCAAAGCACGGTTTAACCGATTTGACAGGCTTTAAAAATAACATTCGATTTTTTTTGATGGGGACACGTGCTGATTTGTTTTTGGCGAAGGCCAGTTGTTTCGAAGATGCGGTTCAAAAAGTGCCAAAAATGGCAATTCAGTTTTCGAGACAACGGAGCGCCCGATTTGAATGATTCCAAAAACATTTTTGTTGTATTAACTTGAAATAGGCATTGATTGAATTTTTGGAAGGCAAGTCCAGTGGATTCAGAATTCCAATAAAAAGAATAAATAAACATTTGGCGTTCAAAAATGATTATTAGACATATGCATATCAAATTATTAGAAATTGTATAGAGATTATAATAACAAAATAAAAATTTTGTTCACATTTCTATGGGTTTCATACCCATATTTATAATGTTTATATACGGGCATCGATATTTCGCCTCTAAAACAGCTATGCAGTGCGATCTCTTTGAAAAAAAAACATTGAAACTTTGAAAAAAAATGAACATTTAAAAAAAAAAAAAATTTTTCATAAAATTCAAAATTATCAAAAACGTTAAAAAGAAAACAAAATATTCAAAAAAAAAATCAAATTTTTTAAACAATTTTAAAGCTTTTAAACTTTTTAAATTACGATACGTCAGGTTCCAGCAATTTTCCCCGAAAAATAATGCTTTGTAAATATGAGCATTATAATAATAAATATTAATCTATCTAATACTATCTAACTCCAGATCTGAATATGGTAAATGTTAGCAATATTAAAAATTTTAAGCCCAAATATATTTCAAAGAACTCACATGATAAATTTCATCAGTCCTTTTCTTACATAAATTGTAATATACTGCTGTTGAAATAATAATTTTCATAATTTTCATATTACTTCACGTTTTAAAATTTATGAGTTCTCGGACACTTTATATACTATTATCTCGGAGGACCCTTATTCTGATTTCTCCGTCGTCCTTTATATCAATTGATTCATACGCACAAGTTGCAGCGGCTGTTATTTATGTTTGAATAGCATATCCTGGCAGGACATTAAATACGACGTTGTGATTTCGCTTTTAATATATATCTTCAGAAACGTATGTAGAGCAAAATATATTTACGAAGTGCGTCGGGATTAAACTCGGCATAATGTGGATCCGAAACGTCTAAAATGACAATAACAATACTCCCACCCGAATGTCAAGCGTGGTTGTAATAAAATCCATTATCAATTCATAACATAAGACATATATATGTTATTATAAGTCACCAGTCACTAAGTATACTGAACTGTATAAGAGCTGATAAATATTTTATTCAAATACTCGCACGTACATTTGGAATTACAAGTTATTTTTATCGAAATACATAAGACAATTGCTTTTATCTTTGAAGTTAACATTGAAATGAGCATATTGCCTTATGTAAAAATTCTCTATGATTTTTACGATAGCGCGTAAGAAATAGTGTATAGTCTTTTATAATAGTTCACACTATATTTGACGATTATTTTGTGTCTATTTTAAATTTCTTTCATTTGATATAAATTACCAGAGATGAATAGTTGAACCAAATGTTCAACTCTGTAGATGAATATTTCTAAGTTATGTCGAAAACTTAATTGCCACTTTGTGAAGCGTATCTCCAAAACGGCTGGACCTGCCTTTGCCATAAAATAATTAGGACGTCTCCCCATCAAAAGAAATTGAATGTTTTATAACTCATTCAAATTGGTTAAACCGTGCTTTAAATTATTAAAATCATTTCTGTGAAATCGTCGACAAAAAATGTATCTAAAAATGTACCTATGAAGTTTGTATTGTGCATTGGTTGAATAATGTAGCTATTATTTCGTAAAATTGCATTAAAATTTAAAAGAAAATATTGAACCTGTTTGCAACCTGGTCGCCCCATTTTAAACTGAATATGGGACAACAAGGATAAGTGACAAATTTTTGAAAAACAGAAAAAAAAAACATTTTTACCCTACCCTACATAAACTATTAAATTATCATCATAAGTTTTAAATATGGGAGATTGATTAAAATTTTTCAAAAACTCCAATAGCAGACAATCTGTGCACAGGAAATGTACAACTTTAAATAAATTTTATGTTCGTCATAAGCAATGAGTTTCCTGAGTTTTGTTTAAAACGTACAATTTTTTGAAATTAGTCTAATATTATTTTTTAAATATTGAACCACTAGAAAACTCATTATCAATCCTTATAATTTCAGTTTGAAATTTATTATGACAAATATGTACTGAATAATAGTGATAAAAAAAATTAATTTTTGTAAATTTCCAAAACTTAAAATAGTAACTGAATTCTGAAATTTATTCAAAGTTATGCAGTTTTTTTCATAATTTTGTTTTTTATTTTTATATTTTTTTATTTTATTTATTCATACAACTTAGAGTAATTCTGATCATTGATCGTTGTATAATCATTATAACAAATTCTGGCAATAAATTAATTGTAAAATAAAAATACAATGCAGAATATTACTAATCAGTACAAGTATGTTTGAATGCAATTATGAACAAGTTTGCAATTGGTCCATTACCGTGTTATTTACACGTTTTTACTGTGTATTAAAGTTAATACTAAAAACATTATAAAAATTAAATATCCCAATGAGTAAAATATCCTATCAAACGACGATCTACTTGTATTTTCTCCATAAAGCATTTGCAAAAACTAAATCGTAAAAAGCATCTTTTTTCAAAAGCTCAGCTATAAATCATCATTACCCAGAGTCGATCTCTACGAGAGAGCTTTCAGGTTCAAGCGCTATCATCCATCCCACTTCTACATTAAATCATTAACTGTCATTCCGTTTCACTCCTACGGAGTACAAGGCAAGCCACGCCCCACGGGTAAAATGCTCTCATGGAGGGGTATAATATTGAGAATAAATGTAGCTTTCTTTGTCTTTCCAACGTCGGAGATTGTGTTTCTGTCTCTGTCTACGCACCGTTGTAGGTGGTTTACGCGAAACTCCACAGGTTGTGTTTTACCTGCGCTCAGTTGGATTCTCATTGTCAAACGGAACGGTCATGTAGCGCATTGAACCGTTTTTGAAATTATTTTCATTTCGTTTAATTTTATTTAATTTTCTAATTGGTTTCTGAAGCGAATTTTCTTTGTGTTTAATTTTATGTGTGTAATCCTTTTCATTGAGTGTCTAGTGTCGGTGACTTATTTTCTTAGACTTTTCATTAGTGCTGATTTTTTATGTGATATTTAATTGGATTTATTTAAACTTTTATGTACAGAGTTTTTGTGTAAAACTTGAGGTGTCAGAAAACAGTGTTTTTAGAAAGACTGTTGTCATGTGACGATATTAAACAATGGCAATTTATTAATATATACATCTTTAGAACTTATACATAAAGACTTGTGTTAGTGATTCAGAACTATTTTCACTTAAAGGAGTTTTTTAGAACTTGCTTGCAACATGCAGCATGAAATGGAGTCAGATACTGAAACCGATAACCCGCAGTTTTGCTCGTACAGGTAAAATTTAGGTTTATTTACTTAAACATTTGAATTATAATTTATAGTTTTAAAAAGACAAAAATGCAATCGTTCTGAAACAACGTAGTTGAAACTAAATTTTTAAATGTTTTTAAATAACGAAAAAAAGTGCTAGTTATAATTAAGACTTTCTTATGGAAATTTCAATTCATTTCAAAGAACTACATGCTTTGTATTCTCTAGATAAATAAAGATATAGATATTAGAACTCTCTTTAACAAAGTACTCTCTTATCTAAGCAAAAACTTGAAATTCACACACGTGCTTATTTCGGGTGTTCGAATAAGGTGTTCTTATCTTGTTGGCCTATAGTTATTTATGGATACTTTATCTTAACTCATTTGTTTGTGATTGTCATGCGCTTAGATAAATAAAACCACTTAAATTTATTCAGCTGTAACTAATGAGGCATTACTGATAATCCAATTAGAGTTATTAAATACATTGATTGCAACATATTTGAGTACCTTAATTAAATGTTGATTTTAACGTTTCGTTACCTTTGGAGATTGATTCTGTTTAACTTTTGATTAAATTAATAACATTCACAGTGGCATTAATTATTATTAGACTAATTTACCTGAAAATGAAAATATAGAGTTAAAATTGATTTTTGTCATTAGAATCTAAATAGATTCTTATTTGTAATATAATCTAAATGGATTCTTATTTGAAATAGAATCTAGATAGATTCTTATTCAAATTAGAATCTAAATAGATTGTTCTTATTTATTTTTTAATTAACAAGATGAACCAAAGTTATAAAATATGATATTTTGTAAATAAACATTCATTTCGAGAAGATACTTTTCTATGAATATAGTTTTGCCAATTTACTATTAGTTATTGTAATTCACTAAAAATTGAAATATAATCCAAGAGCAACAATTTCGTTTATATTGTCTTTTATTCATAATATATTATAAAACTGAAAGAGTATTTTTATTTTGCATCAAAGACTCGTAGCAATTTGTAGTATAATATAATGAACAGTGTATAATAGGGTAGAGTGGGGCTTAAAGATCCGTGTGTAAATAAGTTGACCACCAATATCTGAAAAACAAGTAAAGTTAGAAATTTTCTAACAACAATATTTGAAAGTAGAGGAATAAAGATATAAAACCAGCCATCACCTTCATTTATACGACGTCGCTATCGATAGATAAACGGTCATGGTTGAATATAACAAAAGAATTTTCTTTTCTTGTTAGATTTTTTGGTTGTGAGCACTGTTGTTTAGTTTACGGGACCTTGATTTAATTTTTAAGTATATGTTATTAAATTGGTTTTTAATAGTCAACAGATGTTTTTATATAACCTCTATAATTGCTGATATGTGCATAGGGTAAGGAACTTCACCCTGGCAAAAGCGCAAACAAATAAAAATTAGTAAAATAAAAATGTTAAATCAGTTAAAAAACACAATTTTGCAAGAAATAAAATAAATTAATAGTTATACCACTTCTGATATTTCTGAAAAATACCGGATCAAGATTATATACAGTGTTATCTTTTTAAAAAAAATAGAATGAAAATGTATGTTTTGCATAATTTAAATGTATATTTGATAATTTAAAAGTTTACAATTAAAAATGAAACATTAGATCTGTTTACCCCCTGACTGCCACTTACCCGTCTATGGGATAAAAAGAGACTGAATAATAAAAAAAACATATTACTATAATTTCGGATGTAAGTGAAAATTTTACTGGCATGAGCATAGTTTGTTGATTGGTTGTTTGATTTGTGTTTTGGGTTGTGATGTAGATGATGCAGTTTAAATAGTATAATTTCTTTAAGTCATATTGGATCTTTGTGCCAATTAGATGTATGATTAGTGCAATGTTCTAATATTTTTAATATTTCTGCTAAACAATTAAAATATTTTAACTAAATATAGAATAACAGTAGATCTATAAAATTATTCTATACATATCATGTCTATAATTGTTGTCAAAGCATACCTTTTATAAGATCATCATATCCAAATTAAAAAAAAAATGCATTTTATTGTAAATTTTATTATTACTTTAGACTTCTAAGATACACTGCAAAAATTGTTTAAGTTTTAAGTTAAATCGAAATTTTACTTAGAAGTTAAAATTTTGCTGCAAATAAAGTTGAGAATGGTTATGATCAATATTTGGTTTTACGAAATAAAATGAAAACTAGCCCTTTAAACGCGGATGCCGCATCTCCGGCTGCAAAATAAATTGAGTAATTATGTGTAAATTGACAAAATTCGTATCGTGCACAACATTTAGATCCGTTCTTACCGTATGATAGAATATATGATGTGAGAAAAAATGGATACTATTGGCATTATGAGTATGGTTATCAAAGTTAAATATCTACTCTACGGCTTCTTGAGACGTAAACTTCTAGAATAAAGTGTTTATTTGTCTCGGTGGTTTCTGCAGGGTATTTTTTTTTTATTAAGAACTGTGTGTTGAAAAATATATTTATATTTCTATTCTCGTTTTTTTATTGAAGTTTTCCTGCAGAGCAAACGATACGACACCTTTTCTATACCTTATCAAAGTAACTTTAATGAGTGTTAATAAAAAAGTAATATTTTTCAGCTTTTACGCGATCTTACTAGTCGGCGCTTTTTTTAGTAATAAACAAACCCCTAAATTTTAAGGCCTAAAGGGTATTTTTTTTAAATAGGTAGTTCATACAATTGTGTTTAGTTTCAGTCGCGACTTACATTTTGCAATTTTACAATTTTACAATTTTACATTTAGTGTCGTCGTCGCGACCGAGCAAGTTGCATGCGGTAGCCGAGAAGGTCGTAAAATGCGATTGCGCCCGATAGTTCCGCGTGGGATCTTATCAGCCCACAACGCGACAATCACGTATAGGGAAACTTATAACGTTCGAATATGAACTTTATTAGAAAATAATCCAAACATAACCTAATTTAAAATTTAAGTTTTAAAATAATAAAATTACTTCACATGTTTCGGAAATAGCTGTTATTTTATTAATAATTGTTTCTCTTTCTTAGAAAAATAGAAAAAATTGAAAATCAAAAATAAAATAAAAAGTAGAAGCATTAGTTTCAATATTTCTTTTGCTCCATTATCTGTTTTTAAGATGAATAGTAAAACACTTATAAATTTAACTTTATGAATTAACTTATTAATTTAATTAAAAAAAAAACTATCAGGACTAAAATTAAAATGTTCCGCTATAGTTTTTATTAGTAGATACATTATCAGGCATAATTGTTATTCAACATGTTGAATATTCAAGGCAGTTTTTTTTGTGTTTTCTTATTAGATTACATGCTCAGCAAAAACTTGAATCTATTATTCAAGTAAAAAATTTTAATAAAATGTACTATGTAATGAAATAAATTTAAATTAGGGTAAAATGAAATTAAAAGTTGGAGCATAAATGTAATTTAAAACATATCTCGTTCGACAATTGCTGAAACTTCTCGTAACAAATGTTTAAAAACTTTTGAAAAAAAAATTGTTCAAACATTTTTTGAAAATTAAAGAAAAGTTTATGTGAATTTTTGACATTTTAGAAAAAATAATACTTTTTTGAGAATTTTTTTTTGTAATTATGAGGTTTCATAAAGTTTTTTGAAATTATGGTTTTTTTTTTTGAAAATTTTGAAATTTCTTGAAAATTTTGAAACCCATTCAAGCCGGTTGATCCATACTGTCGAAAATATCGAAGACATTTGTGTGAACTATAAATATTGAAAATTTATAACCATTACAAAATAACTTATTTGATGTGCGTATGCCAAATGAGTAATTATTATTTTTGAGCGCCAAGTGGCATTTTTTCTTAGCTTTTTTTATTGGTTCTACGCTGGATCAGCCTTCCCAAAACTTTTATTAATTCTTCATTCCGTCAATACAAGTGGTATATTCAATATACCAACAATATACTATATTGTTTGAATCATTCTAATCGGATGCTCCATTCTTTCAAAATACGAATAGCCATTTTTAGAACTTGTTACTCCGTATCTTTGAAACTGTATAATGTAAAGAATAACGTTTAGTTTTAAATTTTTGATACTGATAAAGTTATACATTATATTTATTATCGCAATATTTTTATTAATAAACCAGGAAAGAGTTGCTATAGATTCCGAAATCTAAATCTTTGTAACATTTTTATATTATCAAGTAGTCGCATCGTCTGCGACATTTTAATCTTAAGCGTCTCTGTATTGCATTAAATTTTTATCAGCTATGAATTTGTCAATTTATCAAAAAGTCTACAACGATTAATTAAAACGCGTTATTTTGGCAAAATATTTTGTAGATACAATGACAGACAAAATTTGTCTATCGCGTCAAAGATAAAATGCTTGTTCATAAACAAACCATTGCTTAACTTGTTAATAAATTAAATAATAAAACTACTATCGATAATTTATTTCATTACAATTTATCAAAGTATTTATTAAAAAGTTGCCAAAATTAGGCTAAACTGGTTAAAATAGCAATCTGTTGATTGTGTTGCGCCATCATTATATCTTTCCCGTTAGTATAATTGAAAATTTTATATGAAATAATAATAAAATTTAAATATTCTTAAAAAATCTGTTTGGAAATTCACTGTAGTGCTCCTAGAATAATTCTTATTGTGCTATACATTTATTAATTCCATATTCAGAAAGTGTATTACTTTTGAAAATATTTGTTTAAAATTAACTAATTGAACGTGTCTACTTGTCACCGTTTTAAAAAAGCATTTAAAATTCATTGCATTCGATAAATACCTTCAGCAATAATTTTATATAATTATTCTATATTATAGTGAAAAAAACATAAAATATTTTTACACTTTCTGGATTTGTAAATTCTTAAGTGTAGGGTAAAGCTATTAAACTTCATAAACGGCCATATTTATAATAAAAATATTTTTTATTTGTCGGTAGTTTTTTTTTCGTTTTGAGCTCTGTTATTTAGTTCATGAAACCTGAATATATTTTTTATGTATTCGTT